CACACACACACACACACACACACACACACACACACACACACACACACAAACTTTTGGGGGACATTTCACATTCAAACCACACACCTAACAATGAGCACATTTTGAAAAGAGCCTATAAAATATCACTAAATAATATTAAAAAGCAGAAATTTAAAAAGTTTCCCAAGCTAAAACATTCAGAAAAATAAATTTTCATTCACTAACTGGAAATATAAACTGAAACTACTTATATACATAGGATATATTTATTTCTACCTCAATATGTTTTTTCACAATCTGGGGGAAACGTTTTCATTTCATCTACATTTCTGTCTTAGTTAAGGTTTCTACTGCTATGAAGACACCATGACCACAGCAATTCTTATAAGGGAAAACATTTCATTGGAACTGGCTTCTAGAAGTTTAGTTCATTGTCATTATGGTGGGAAGCACAGTGACATGCAGGCAAACATGGTGATGGCAAGGTAACTAATAGTTCTACATCTGGATTGGCAGGCAGCAGGAAGAGAGTGACACACAGGGCCTGGCTTGAGTGTCTGGGAGTTCAAAGCCTGCCCCCAATTGCTGTGGGACAATGGTCTGTACCCTGTTACTTGTATTTTAAATAAACTGTTGATTGGCCAGTAGCCAGACAAGAAGTATAGGTGGAGTGACCAGGCAGGAAGTAGAGGCAGAGCAATGAGAATGTTGGGAACAGAAAGAGTCAGACTGCAGTCGTCACCCAGACAGAGAGGAAGCCACACACAGTGCAAGCAAGATGTGACTGCCTCGCCAAAGAAGGTACAAAGCCACATGGCTAACACAGACAAGAATTATAGCCTAATATAAGTTATAAAAGTTAATAAGAAACCTGAGCTAATAGGCCAATCAGTTTATGATTAATGTAGACCTCTGTGTAATTCTTTGGGATTTAAAGACTGAGACCTGGTAGAACAGATAACCCCAGACAATACCCAGTGAGACGCTTCTTCCAACAAGGCCACACCTCTCAATAGTGCCATGCCTTATGAGTCTATGAGGGTCATTTTCATTTAAACCACCACAATTTCTTTCTCACTCTGCAACATAAATGCTGCAGGGCAGGGGAGACCAGAAAGTAATATCAATGACAGTTTTCCACTACCAATGGAAACAAAAAACTATCTACCTTTCTGCCGTGACTTTACAATTCTGACCACAAAACTATTAAATATCCTTGCTTTGTCTTACTTAGTGGGGAAAAGCTGCTTGTTCCTTTCCAAGTCTCTCTTGGCCTTCGCAATGAGAACCTTCCTAACTCTGAATGAACCTTTTCAACATTCTCTACACAGTGCAAGCAACTTCCTCTAGAGAAACTAACTCAACCACAGGCCCTATCACCATAATGAAAGTTTCTAAATCTTTATTTCTAGCCCCATCCAATTCCAAAACCCCTTGAGATTCAAAGAATATTACCTATTTAAGCCATTGCTTCCATTAACAATTTTATATTTTTTTTTCATTTAGGTCTTTCCCAAAAAAATTCAAATGTAGATAACTATTAATGCACGCTAAATCTGACTGGAAGTTTCTCTCATGTTATTTCTTGCATTTCCCCCATAATTTACAGAATTCCACAAGAGAGACAGAACCAATAGACCCAAGGTGTGGAGTGTTTGATCTGAAATTATATCATCTTGTCTAGTAAGGTGTCTCAGAGGGTAAAGGAGATGTGTCATCAAGTCTATAGCCTGAGTTGAATCCCCAGCTGGCGAAAACCAATCCCTGCAAACTCTTCTCTAACAAATGGTGGCAAGAACCAATGCCTGGAAATTGCTCTCTAACCTCTCCACACATGGGATGTGGCACACACAAACACATGCATGCACACACACAAGATAGGTAGGTGGATGGATTGAAGATGGATAGGATGCACGCATGGACAGAAGAGAGATAAAAGTAGGGGGCAGGGAAGATAGCTCAGTGGTTAGGAAAATGTTGTACTATCATGTGTACAAATGATTGAATGCTAGCCCCCATGAAACACAGATACAGAAATAAATTTTTTTAAAAAAAAAATACAAGTTAAACTTCAAATTTTAGGGATTTTGTGTGTAACTCGGTGATATTCCATGTTTAGCATGGTCAAGGTCATGGTGTAAATCCAGGGCACCACACAAAAACAAAAATACAAATAATGACATCAATAAAAATATTTGTTACACACTATGATCATGGCAACTCGCTTTTTTGTTTTGTTGGTTTTGCAAGACAGGGTTTCTTTGTGTAACAGTCCTGACTGTCCTGGAACTCACTTTGTAGACTAGGCTGGCCTCAAACACCCTGAGCTCCATCTGCATCTGACTCCCAAATGCTGGGATTAACAACACGTGCCACTACTGCCTGGCCCTTTTTTTTTTTTTTTTTAGCATTTATTTGAGGCTTACATTTTCAGTGGTTTAGTCCATTATCCTCATGGTAGGGAACATGGTAACACACAGGCAGACATGGTAGCTGAGAGCTAGATCCAGAACCACAGGCAAGAGGAAAGAGAGTCACTGGGCCTGGTTTGGGCCCTTGAACATCAAAGCCCACCCCCAGTGACACACTTCCTGGAATGAGGCCTCAACTCCTAATCCTTCTAAATAGTGCCACTCCCTGGTGTCCAAGCATTCAAATCTATGAGCATACGGAGTCATTCTTATTCAAATCATCCTAAGTATGTATGTATATCTGTACATGTGGAATTCAGGAGACAACTTGCATGTCAGGACTCTCCTCCCACCATGTGGGTGCTGGAGACAGCTGGGAAATGAACTCAGTTGTTAGATTTGGTGACTAGTGCCTTTATCCACTGAGCCACCTCACCAACTCAAGTAAACTTGTTTTGTTGTTTGTTTGTTTGTTTGGTTGCTTGTTTGTTTGTTTGGTTGGTTGGTTGGTTGGTTGGTTGGTTTTTTTTCCAGATAGGCTCTCACCATAGCCCTGACTACCTTGGAACTATGTTGCAAATCATAGAACATAGCCTCTGTGACTTTGATTTAGGGGGATTTGTTTCCTTTGTGTACATGACTAATTTTTATGACTGTCTATGAATTCTAGAATATAGTGCTTACCCTCTGTTGGCATAAGGTCTGCACACATATGTGAGTGTGAGTTTGTGTCTTAGCCATTGTTTTATTGTGAAGAAACACCATAACCACAGCAACTAGGAAAAGAGAGACTTTGGGACTGGCTTAGGTTTGTGACACTCCAAAGCCAGCGGCACTCCCCCCTCCAACAAGGCCACACTTACGGATCCCTCTAAAGTAGTGCCGTTCCCTGATGACCATCCGTTCAAATATATGAGTCTATAGAGGTCATTACCCAAACTACCACGACTTGTCAATGCTTTAAAATTTTTCTAAGCTGACTAAATTTTCAATAATGCAGATTCAAATGACCAATTGCAATCGCTTAGTTATCCTAATTGCTGCCTATTGTATTTACAAGCACAACCATTCAAAATCAAATTTTCATGATTATTTCTCTTATCAACATGTAACACTGTTTTCTATGTCTTAATGTCAGCGTCCAATCCCCAACATAAAATATCTCTCTGGACAGAGTGGAGGTGTGGGAATAATTGAGACAACTCACATGGCTTTCTTGGGAGGGAGCTTCTCAGTGATCCCTCATGAAATCCTGAGTTCACATCCAGAAAATTTCTTCTCATTTATTCTCCAAACAGCCTTTAAACCAAAATGTAAACTGAGGGATAAGTTCATTAGCATTCTGTTTCCTAGGTAACCAGGTGAATGGTTTTAGTCATGTCTACACCTTCAACCACACCTTCCTACGCCTATTTTGTCAAGTCTTCCTATCTTCCTGCTCTGAATTCTAGCTCTGTCATGTAGGCCTGAATTGGCATCTCTATCCCAGGCATCCTTCAAATTACAAAGAAGGAGCAAAACAACATCCTGCCGGGTGGTGGTGGTGCACGCCTTTAATCCCAGCACTCGGGAGGCAGAGGCAGGCGGATCTCTGAGAGTTCGAGGCCAGCCTGGTCTACAAGAGCTAGTTCCAGGATAGACTCCAAAGCTGCAGAGAAACCCTTTCTCAAAAAACAAAACAAAACAAAAACACAACATCCTAACCCTTTGTTAGGGTAGTGGTAGCCTTTCTGGAAGGCTACGTGACCACTCAGGTACAAACTATTGCTTAAGAGCCTGGTTGCCATACCATATAGAACTATGTGGCCTATCTATATAATATTGTCCCACATCTTAAAAGATAATTAACATTAAAACCACACTGGGGGCAATGTTTTCTTATATACCTTTATTCCCAGACACGACGGGCTAGGGATGTAGTTCAGTGGTAGAGCACACTCTATGGCAGCACTAAAAAATACATTCTTCTCTTTTCACTTTTCTCAGACAAGTATTACATGTGAAATTCTACAAGGAGAAAGGTATCTAGAACTAACTGAAAAGACTGGAGTAGCCTATGGAATTTTAAAACAGCAAGAATAGCTCAGGGAAATCTGCAAGGAACAGAGTGAGCAAACAATGAAAGAACGTGAACCCCTCCAAGCTTTAGTATCCATGTGCTCAAATACAGCATATTTTAAAAACATCTTTGGAATGCTGTTATTCTTTTATTGGTTATATTGGCATCAAAAATATGGAATTCTCCATAAATGTATGTGTCATATTTGCTCAGCGGCCATGCTAATATCTGTATCACTCTAATCCTAGTGTATGTGCTGCCAAAGCCAGGACTCTACTTTTTAACTGTTTTTTGCTCACTTAATAGACAAAAGCACAGTATCCTCTTTCAGTCCAACTAAGATCTTTATTTTATTCTACCTTTAATTCATTTGTATTTACTGCCTGTTATGGCTAAAATGTGAAAGTCCCTCCCCATCTCCCACTCCCAAGATCATTTGTTTGGAAACTTGGTTCCTAGCTAGTGGCTCTGCTATGGGAGGCTAGAAACTGTGGGACATAGAACTGAAGAAATGAATGCCAAAAGGAGTGGGTCTCAAAGGTTAGAACTCAACCCTACCTCATCCCAGAGCTCTCTGCTTCTTGTGACAATGTAATCAATGGCCACTACTAATACCACGGACCTAGCAGTTTCAATCACCATCTTCCCTGCACTATACCCTTTAAACCAGGAACCAAAACAAATCCTTTCTTCTGTAAGTTGCTTTTGTTTAGTTGGTCACAGTTACAAGAAAAGCAACTAATACACCAACTTTCTCATTCTCTGTACTTAATTCTGCTTCTGCTTCCAGATCTCCATACTATCATGTTTCTAGCCCACTCACTACTTTGTCCTGTCTTCAGATAAAGTGAGTACTGTGTACCAGGAGGTGGTGGCACACACCTTTAATCCCAGCACTCAGGAGGAAGAGGCAGGTGAATCTCTGGGAGTTCGAGGCCGGCCTGGTTTACAGAGTGACTTCCAGGACAGTCAAGGGCTACACAGAGAAACCCTATCTTGAGAAAAAAAAAAAAAAGGAACAAAAAGCAAATACTGTGCTAAGAGTTCCACACTTACACACTGCATTCTCATTCTCTACATGGGTGTATTATGCTAACAAAGCTTTCCACAGAGCTATGTCCCCAGCCCAAACATTCAAACATAGGAGGTTATGGGGGCCATTCTCATTCAACCACCATGTCTCAAAAAGTCAGGTGGAAAGTGATATTTATTGCTTTATATTGTTTATGCTGGTTGTAATTCTGATATTTATACTCCATATATATTCCTACTATATATAGTTTTGTATTAGGCTTAGAACTCTTTTATTTAGACAAAAGGGGGAGGTCCTGTAGGAACTCCTTCAGCCAACAGCCTATAAGATACTGGTCCACTCTGAGCATGACCATATGTACTATACATACAGATGTAAAATCACGTGCAGCCCCTTGGCTGTCTGATTCAGTTCCTGTTCCCCATTCACGCAGAGGACTGCTGATCTGTGAGTCTACCCCTAAATAAAAAAACTCTATTATTATACTCTATTATTATACTCTATTCTGAGCTAGTGTGGGACTGCTTTATTATGATCAACAACAGGAAAGCAACTGAAAAAGACACCCAATGCTACCCTCTGGTCTACATGTGTTCATGCACACTTGTGTACATACACACATAAAAAAATCTTTAAAGAGGCACAGGGTAGTAAGCCAAAGGTAGGTTGTCAAACAAAGTATTGTATCTCAACTCCAGCACTTGAAGTTCCAGAGCTACGGGAGTTCTTTACTTTGGACTGAATGCTAACTCTGTGGCCACTCATGAAAAAAGAGCCACTTCCTTCTACTGTCACTAAGTGTAGATGATAGCACCACCTGTAAATAAGTCTAATATACATTTTCTTGAAGGAGAGGGGGACTACTTCTTTGATGCAGTTAAGATCTGCATTACTTCAATTTATGAATTGCTCCATCTTGACATAAAGTCAGAGAGTTCTGAGCCTATCATTGCTCCTTCAAGGTCAAACAACAAAATGTTTTGGCCTAAGGTGTAGCTACTGAATGTTTTGCTTCCCAACGTTTTGAACTCTTGTTTGCTCCTTATATCATAATCTTAGAAAAAAAAAAGTCTTTATTGCCCTCCCTTTTAGCTTGAGGTACAAAAGGACTATGAAAAATTAAACTTGAGGCTGCAGTATTTACTGACAGTCCTCCCGAATCTATCCTATGTCTATTTCGTGTCTCTATTATTTCTACCTGCAATTTCTCAATCCACATGCCTCCCTCCAACAACAGACAAATTAGTCAGGCAGGAACTGATGATCAATAAAATCAGTTCTGCTCCATACATTGAGGTAACATCTAAAAAACAAATCCAATGATAGGCATAGCACCATGATTTAGGAACAGGAAGTAGACACACAGTAGAAGAATTACTGATAATACAGTGTATCAGCGAGTAAAATGGTGTGTCAAACAAAAATAGCATATTATTAATTCATTTAAACATCCTCTATAAAAGTGACAAAAATCTGTATCTTGCCTAACTCGTAACCTCAATCAAAATTTCAGGATCCTCACAAAGCGTAGACAAATTCTTTGCTGGAATGTAACAAAATGGCCTTTGATGCAGTTCCACAGTGTGCTGGTTTCCATGAGCAATGTTCCACATAGGCTAATGTATTTGAACAATTGTTCTCTAGTTTATTATGGTTTGACACTGCCTGTTTATACCCCAGCTGGTGATGCTACTTGGCAAGTCTGTGTAATCTTTCGGAGGTAGGATACAGAGAAGAGAAACAGATCTGTAAGGACAAGCATCTGCACGCTGTAATGACCACTGATTCCCAGCCCACTGTCATGTGAACAGCCTCTATGGAAAGCAGTCCTGGTGTGCCTTGATATCATGGCTTCTTTCCTCCTTTTACATTGATTCTACCAGTAACTGTGATAGTGGTACGGTTCTGAGAATTAGGGCTGTTCCTATCACACATCTGACCACAGGGCTCATGGGTCTTTTGAACTGGTGGGAAGAATTGACGAAGGTTTGGAGATGCAAACCAGGAAAAAGCTCCAGAACACTACAAGCAGAGAGAGTCTCGTGAGTGAGGAGTCAGTCTAGTTGGGGCCTGGGAGGTCAAAACTGAAGACTGTACTCATAATGCTTTAAGTGAGAGCACAGAATGTACATGTATTAGTTACCTTTTTGGTGCTGTTATAATTTTTCCCTGACCAGAAGCAACAGAGAGGAAAAGTGCTTATTTTAGCTTAAAATTCCAGAGAGGTTACAGTCTATCCTGACAGGGAAAGTATGGCAGAAGGAGTGTCAAGCAATGCATCCTAGCAATCAGGAAAAAGAAATCATATTGCATCCATACACAGGAAGCAGAGAGAAAGAATAGGAAGTGGGATCAGACTATAAAACCACAAAGCCTGCCCTCAGTGGCATACTTGCTCCAAAAGGTTCCACCTTCTAAAGGTTCCATAACCTCCCCAAACAGCATCACAAACTGTAGCCCAAGTGTTCAAACACATGAGCCTAGAGGGTATTTTTTTTTTCATTTAAACAGCCACACTATAGAATCGAACTAAAGGACATTTGCACTACATTCCTGAAAAAAAAAAAAAGCCTATACTTTGTCAGGAAGCTGAAATTTTAATTAGTACTAGATTCAAAACTAGTGCTAATAAATCTTGACAAAATTTGCTAGCTACTTTTAGCCAGGTTTACAATGAGAATTGGGACCAAAATGCAGAGCAGAAAATGTGAAAAACGTACACTTTAGCCAGAAAAGGAGGACGTTTAAGGTGGCAAGGAGTGATTTGCTGAGGAGATAGCACCATTAAAAAGAAGCCAAGTGATATGCACCAGGACAACAGTAAAGGGACCTTAAATGCATTTCAGGACTTTTTGACACTGCACCCACCAAAGGCTTCAAAGAGTAAAACAGAAAATGTATTTGAAAATCTTCCTTTAAAATGTAGTGCATCAAGCTGGGCGGTGGTGGCGCACGCCTTTAATCCTGGTGCTCAGGAGGCAGAGCAACAACCAACAACAACAACAACAAAAAAAAAAGTAGTGGTACATCAGGGATGCTTTATTTACACGGAGCTGCCTCAGGAAATGTTTTAACTACCAAGGCACTCAAAAGAACACTGAAGGCATGGTCCAGAGAAACTTGATTACTGCTTACTTGGCACAATCTGTCATTATTCACACGGTACTTGTTTTTCAGGCATGAACGATACAAACAGTAAATGAGGCTCCCACCAAAATTTTAGTAAAGAAAGCCTAAAAGGTCAGGAAATGTATGGCAGGGGGTAGTTCTCTTTGGGAAGCCATGACAGAGTATTGTAGAAACTTTGAAATTAACTTAGTTGCAATGGAGATGTCAATACACTGGAGAAGTCAGGAATGTGGGGTATCTGTTGAATAAAGTTACATGCACAAAGTGGAAGCAGACCAAGAGAGGGGTCATGTATGGGGGGGTGCAAGGTGATAGTCTCCAGGCCTACCTGGGTTCAGAATATATCACCACATGTTCCAGATGTTGGACATGGAGCACAGGATTTAATGTTTGTCTCTTGGGTTTTGGTCTTGTTTTGGTTAGATCCCTCCTTTCTATGTCCCCAATTACTCCCCTTTGAAATGGGAACGCCTACTATGGGTTATTGAATAGTGGAAGTATGTAACTTCATTTATTTGGTACTTGCCTGTTTTACATGGACCAGTTCCCACTTGTCAGACATAAATTCTCCATCAAGATATGAAAAAATTTAGTCTTAACAGAATTCTTCACAGATGGGTTTTAGGCTGGCAGTTGAGTTCGGAATACAGAGTGTCCTCCTCCCCCCAGCACTGGATCCTCTTCAGAGGTACTTGCATCATCATTCATGTTTGAGTTCCTTATAAAAAATTGAGGAGTTGGAAAAGTACATTGGCAGCCTGTACCACATTAGTCTCATTGATGCTCCCTTTCCGCATGTTATCGTACTTGTTGTGATGCCGGTCGTAATCTCTCTGAAATACTCCAAGCCTTTGGAAGTAAAATCCCACATCAATATCCAGCTTGGCAACTCTCCCAGCTCAACTTCCATCAGTTTCTTCTTCATCGGTGGTACAAATGACTGCAGCTTGTAATTCTGGCATTTCTATATGCTCAGGATTTTGTTTGTTTATTTTTCAGAGTCTTACCAGTGTAGCCTAGACTGATCTTGAACTCCTGACAATCCTAATGCCCATCCACTCAAGAACTAAGATTAGCCATACAAACCACCATACCTAGTTTATAAACCTT